TTTGTTGATGTTAATCAATTTATTATTGCGTGGTCTAATGTCTAAATATATATTATTTTCCACCTAACTTATTATGTTAATACTTACGGTAAAAATTAAACCCAAATGTTACATTCTCAACCATAAATTGGCATTAGTCCAACATTCCTAACACACTCATACAGTCATACCATATTTTATTTTGTCATTACTGTAACTTTGCCAAAATACATATTCCTAGGTATRCTTATTTATAACAAGCACTATGAAGTTCACAATCACTTTTATCAATATTTTTTTTTTTTGTTTCTGAGTAATATGAGGCATAGTTTTATTTCTCAGTTTAAACATATAAAAGTTGATATTTATAATTTGTTTTATTTTATTTTGTTATAGTTCATGAAGTTTTTATAGTGAATCCAAAATGACTTCTAATGAGCCATTACTCGTTCAAGCTGTATATTCATTTAAAGGGAAAAATAATGACGAGGTAAAATAATTTGTTGAAATCATTGAGCTTGTGCTTATATTATTCAATGTTATTTTGATATTTTTAATACTGCTTATTTAATCTTATTTTATATTCGTATGAATCATCAATGATAATAATTTGCTTCTATATTCATTGAATTGTGATATTATATTTTCATGTCTTTAATCATTTTATATCCCTTAGAGGAGACCTTGAACCAACGTAATGGTATGATTTTTTTTTTTATATAATTTATAATTATTAACTGTTATTTATTAAATGTGTGTTAAGCATGAAGGCGTATATACAAATGCATGGAAGTCCAGATATATTATCAAAACAGTTATATTTTATTTTATATTGAAMTTTTTCACCCAAATAATTCTAATATTTTGCATCTAGCTGTGTTTGAATAAACACGATATTGTGATTGTCACTCAAAAAGAAGATGGTGGCTGGTGGGAAGGAACTCTTAAAGATAAAACTGGTTGGTTTCCATCAAATTATGTTAAAGAATATAAACCTCAAGGTAAAATATTAATAAATTAAAGTTAAATTATGGCTTTAATACTCTAAATTTTTTTATAGGAGAAAACATTACAAATAATAAAGTGCCAAACATACCGTTGGATTTAACAGAACAATTAAGAGCTAACCGAGCTGTGGTTGTAATGGATATTGTGGAATCTGAAAGAGCTCATGTCACTGAATTAAAGACACTTATTCAGAGTTTTTTAATTCCTTTGAAAAACTCAAATATGTACTACATTTTACAATAATTAAATTTAAATATAAATAATAATAATAATAATAAAAAATTTATTTTAGAATGTCTATTGATGAATATAATCAATTAGTAAATAATATTGAAGAAGTTTCAAAAATTCATGAAGGGCTTCTAGAATCATTAGAACAAGTCTCTGGGTTACCGCAATCCGATCAAAGAATTGGCAAACTGTTTCTAAATAAAGCATCTTTTATTCGGACTGTTCATTTGAAATATTGTGCTTCTCATCCCAGAGCAGTTAATATTATTGATAAATATAAGTATGTACTATAAATATTTTAATTTTATGTAAATGATTAATTAATTTATAAATTATAAAATTATAATTTTAGAGATGAATTAAATCAAATAATGGAAACACAAGGTGCAGTTAGTCCTGGTATTT